CTATGAGCTTTTGGAGAAGTTTAACACTACAAAAGCACAATGCATTTGACAGATGCTAGGTTCACTACAGATTAACATTAAAGACAGACAACTACGATAAGAAGCAGTACGCCATACGGAATATCCAAGCCATCACTTTGGCAAGGGGGAAGGGAAGATGCACAAGCAAGCCCTTCAGTTTTAACAAAATCATTACAGGGACAGAATAGCCCTGCTTTGCCATGTAAGTGCTCAACTGCAGCTGGCCAAAGGACACAGCAAAACCATTTTAAAACTATGTGAACTAAATTCTCCAAGATCACTAATTAAGATTCAATCAAATTTCTCCAAAGACTGAGTAATACGTTGGTTATGACCCATTACCTCCTCCATCTAACTGGTATGTTGGTTTAGTAGCCACCATCATAATCATTAAATGCAAAAAAAAAAAAAAAAAAGTAAATAAAGTAAGGAGAACAAAAACAACTTTGGCCATATTTTCTATGCCTGAGAACATCCAAAGAAGTCTGCTAAGCTTAAAAGCACTCAAAACCACAGCACCCTAAATAAATCCACAGCACAAAAAAAGTTAATTGGCACACGCCCACGTAAGTACTAGCAAAACTTAAAAATTCTAGTTCAGAAAAAAGCATTTCAAAGAACTCAAAAAACAAAACAAAAGACAAAGCATAAAAACCTCAAAACACCCCAAACACCTCACCTTGATAAAAGCCAAACCCAAAAGAAGCTCCCTGTTTGGAAGCTGTGCCTTATATATCCCAGGCCCTACCCACAGCCCCTCCCTCAATGACCTGGCTCGGGGGTGGGGCCAATCACTACCTGGGGTAAAAGCAGCCTGACAAGGGACAGCTGGGTTGGTTTTGGTTGGAGTTTGCTTTGTTGGTTTGTCTCTGGCTTTTAAGTTTTTGGCCTTTTTTTTTTTATGCTTTAGGTTTACTTTCAAAGCTCACAGACTGCATAGCTTCAATTTTATGAAGTCAGGTTGAGAATTACACACAGAAAACTCTCAAAAAGCTTAGATATTAATGAATTTTCTGCTTCCTTTCAGACAACGCCTGGCCTTTACACAGATTAAGTTCCAACTTAAACCCCCTCTGAGCAGGGTGAAAAGTACATTGTAGCATTTTGTACTGACACTGTTAGCTGGTTAGATATCAGCCAAGCATGAGTAGTTGAGCCCTCAAATTGATCCCCTCAATTATTTCTTTATAGTCAGCATTCTGAATTGTGCAAGATTAAGCTCAAGAACACTTTCGATCACAGAGTTGTTTCTATGTACTGGTCCCTTGGCACAGTTACCAAAGCCAGTGCACCAGAAACTGATTTAAGATCTTTCCTGTACAAAACCACTGTTTACAGGTTCTTTAATGGGGCAAGAAATTAATATGCATGTTAGAAATGAACTCACTTCCTCCACTACTCAGGGAAAGAAACTAAATAAAAAGCTTCTAACCAGCTGGAGCAGCAATACAGCCACCATGTTAGCTCAAAACAAACTATGTTACTTCAGCATTCCCTCCTGCCATTGCTGCGGAACCACATCAGTTCTATACAGCCACAACTAGACTTGGATTTCAGAAAGAAAAGAAACAATTTAAAGAAGTTAAAAATTGTGTTAAGCTAATTCATCAGCTTAGGTTCTCAACAGCCAATTTCAAGACCTTTCTTCTAGAATGAGTTAATTTAATATGAACGAAAAAAAAACACGCAAGCCACATCTCTCTGACCCCTTCATTTAAGTGATGTGGAAGTGCCAATGCAAATCACAAGCAAATATACTCATTGAAACAGTCATGCTGCACTACCATACACACTCGAAGATGGTGCTATAAAACATCCCATTTTATTTTTCTCATCCCCATGGTACATTTCAAAGCTCTTCCTGCTGTACTGATGGTTCTCCTCAGCCCTTTCCTGTCAGAAAATATTCTTCTTTCTTAGTTTTTATAGTCCCATAAGTCTAAAGCAAAACTTAATGCTCAGAACTCCACTATTAGACACAAAAATAATTACTGCATCCAGCCATTTAGTTTTTATTATCTGCAGTAAGAAAAAATAATAAAAATCAGCCATATAATACTTCACAGACAAATAAATAGAGCAAAGAACTCTGAAATATTAATTCCATGCAGACTGTAAAGAACCTGTGCTTTCTATACTTTAGACTTATAAAAGGAGAAAATTATAAACTAAAAGAATTCTTTTTACTACTCTCCACCAAAAAGCACCAGTTTTTTAACAGCCTGTACATCCCTAAACAACATAAATATACTGTTTCGGTTTTCTTTAAATCTAGGCATTCAACTTACTTTTTATAAGTACATACACCCAAAAGCACCTTCATATAACTGGTATGTTGGTTTAGTAGCCACTACCATAACCATTATATGCAAAAAAAAAAGTAAATAAAGTAAGAAAAACAAAAACCAAAACCAACCTTGGCCATGTTTTCTATGCCTGAGAACATCCAAACAAGTTTGCTAAGCTCAAAAGCACTCAAAACCACAGCACAAAAAAAGTTGATTGGCACATGCCCACATAAGTATTAACAAAACTTAAACATTTTAGTCCAGAAAAAAGCATTTCAAAAAACTCAAAAAAACAAAGGAAAAAATAAAAGACAAAGCATAAAAACCCCAAAACACCCCACACATCTTACCTTGATACAAGCCGAGCCCAAATGAAATGCCCTGCTTGGAAGCTGTGCCTTATATATCCCAGGCCCTACCCACAGCCCCTCCCTCAATGCCCTGGCTCAGGGGTGGGGCCAATCACTACCTGGGGTAAAAGCAGCCTGACAAGGGACAGCTGGGTTGGTTTTGATTGGAGTTTGCTTTGTTGGTTTGTCTCTGGCTTTTAAGTTTTTGGCTTTTTTTTTATGCTTTAGGTTTACTTTCAAAGCTCACAGACTGCATAGCTTCAATTTTATGAAGTCAGGTTGAGAATTACACACAGAAAACTCTCAAAAAGCTTAGATATTAATGAATTTTCTGCTTCCTTTCAGACAACGCCTGGCCTTTACCAACTGCCTTGTGTCCTATCTGGTTGTTCCTTGACATCCTCTTTTCCACAGCTTCCATCATGGACCTCTGTGCCATCTGACTTGACCACTATATTGCAATTAAAAAGCCAGTCCTGGCTAGTCAGTACAATTCATGGGCTACAACAATCATCAAAATGACCGTGGTTTGGCTCATTTCAATAGGTGAGACTCTGAACTGGAAAAGGAACGCAGAAGCTTTTCACATCCAAAACAATGGGTGACTGCTGGTCAAAATGGAAACTCTGGCCAAGTACTACTGATTAGCAGACCCTAACATCTGGGCTGGCCTAAGTCCACCTCTTAGCTCATACATAGCTACACCACAAGAATTGGCCTCAAGCACTGCTCCTGATCAGGCTTACCCTACTCAATCATACCTTTTCTTAATGGTCTTCCAAGTCCAAAACTCAGAAGACAATAACTGCATGCATAGTATGCCTTCCAGGAAAGCATGAGTTTATGCTCCTGTGGTAATATATTCTGTTCCACACACAGTTTAAAGACTTGAATAGATGCTGCTAAAATCTGTACTTCACAATTTCCCCATGAAGCAAGTAAAAAAAGGTTTATGAGTTATATCAAAGACTGAAAGATCAATGAATGGCTGGTAAAACTCACATTGAAAACTGAGATGCACTGGCAATACAGCATATAGAAAGGCTAACTTCTAAGCAAAAAAAAAAAAAAACTCAACCAAAACCAAACACCCTGAAGAGTGTAAAGGAAGCCAATGAATAAACTTTTAAATTAGCACCTCATGCGCGAGTCCGGGACGCTACTGCACATGCGCGGACAAGGGGCGCTACTGCGCATGCGCGGATCCAGGACGCTACTGCGCATGCGCGAGTCCGAGATGTATTCAAATGGAATTTTAGGTGTGAAAGCAAGGAGCGACAGTAATGCGGGTGGTAGTTTTGGAAGTGTCACCTTAATTCCTATAAATGGAGTCCTCCAGAAAGGTGTTACGAAGATGGTAACCCACTTTTTTGCCACCTAAAACTCCTGTTGACCTGCCAGGACTAGAAGCCAATGCTGGCCTTTTGTATGGCATAGAAGCACACTCATGTCTTTGCATCTTAGACCACACATAGAAAATGAGAGTCTTTACATTTTTACCACATTATGGAGGCAGAAAGTGTAGTTCTGGACAGAAACCTGGTGTTTTGGCTTTATTATACGTTAGTTTTTTTCTTTGACCATTTGAATGCTACAGACACTAAACATAAAAGAGGCTGTTGCTCATCCTGCCCCTTTTACCCTTTTACCTGCCCCTGCTCAAACACCCTAAGAGCCAGGACAGAATGCTGCTGCTGGGCCTCTTCTGCAGACAGTGAGCTCCACAACAGTGCCACCAGCCTTACTGTCGCTCCTTGCTTTCCCACCTGGAAGTCTAATTGATTGCAACCTCTATGGCGCACACTCATTGGAGCATTCATAGCTTCCTTGGGCAACCCATTCCAGCCTCATCACCCTCACAGTAAAGAACTCCTTCCTTATATCTAACCTCAACTCTCCTGTTTAAGTTTGAATCTGTTACCCCTTGTCCTATCACTACAGTCCTTAATGAAGAGTCTCTCTCCAGCATCCATGTAGGACCCCTTCAGATACTGGAAGGCTGCTGTAAGGTCTCCACCCAGCCTTCTCTTTTCCAGTACCAGCAGGGATACTGCATGTTGGAGGATGATTCCTTTTAGAAGCAATAATAATTAGTGACTTATTATGGCACTTTGGACAAAAGCCATGAGTCTGTGGCTCGTTTGGCTGCTCCTATCAATGTACAATGCACAGAGCTGGGACCAGCACTGGATCAGAAGCTATCAGAGACCTACCCTGCAGTGGAAGGACCCATTTGGCCAAGCCAAAGCTGGCACTAGCAAGAAGGGTTCTATCCACCAGTACTGAGACATGCTGGTGGTCCCTGAGCATCATGAATAGTACTCTGAAAGGCCGTATTACAGAGGAGCTCGCTTTATTGAGGAGCAGGGGGCGTGGCCAGATCGAGGGGCGTGGTCAGGGATCCCCTGCGATGCTGATGGTGGCCAATGAGATGGTCTCGGTGGAGAGGCTCCGCCCCTTCTCATAGATGAGGTAGAGGAAGGTGGAGTGTCCCTGAGCGCCAGGGGGTGGGGCCGTCATCGAAGAGTACCCGCTGGGCCCCGCCCACACCTGCAGGCCATGCCCCCACCACGTAGTGCCGTTGGTGAAGCTCCAGCGCAGGGTCAAGTTCACTCCTGTTTGGAGGGGGAAGATCCAGCATCTGTTAAGCCTTGCCCACAAAAAACACGCCCACAACAGACACGCCCAGCAGCAGCCCCATGCCCTGCCGGCAACAGGGGGTAAAGCAGGGAGTTGGGGGGCCCAGGAGGGGGTTTTGGGGGTCAGAGATGGGAAGTGGAGGTTTAATGGGAAGCAAGAGGAGGGCCAAGGGGAAGTTACGGGTATCTGGGGGGCCCTGGGGTGTGCTGGGGGCATTAAGGGGGGTCAAGGCAGGGTAATGGGTAAGCAACAAGGAGCATAAGAGGGGTCAGGAGGACATTAACAGGGGATAAGAGGGGTGCTGCAGGGCTATGGGGTCCCCCATTGGGCAGTTAAGGAGGGGGTAAAGAGAAGGGTGCGGTCTTGGGTGTGTAAGAGAAGCATTAACAGAGGACAAAGGGGGGTGCTGAGGGGCCCTAGGGGGACTTTGGGAGTCTAGGGTAAGCATTAATGGGGAATAAGAGAGAGGCTAATAGGATATGGGTGGCAAGAGGGAGCCTGCAGGGAGCAATGTGGACATCGGGGTGGGGGGTTAAGGGTGGGCCATAGATTTGGGGGGGGAGGCCGTTACCCTGCCACTGCCCTCAGCCTACACCCTCTGCCCGTAGGCCACGCCCCACAGCAGTCGAGCCCCGCCTGCCAACCCAAAGCCTCACGCCTCTCCCACTCACGCTGGCTCTCGTGTGCGGGGTTACTGAAGAACACAAGATTCCCGGTGACCAGGACCCCGGCGGCCACCGCGGGGTCCACCAAGGCAGGATCGAAGGTGACAGCGCCGGGGGGGAGGGTCTCACCGCCGTCCCAGCTTCGCGCCACCATCCGGCAGCGGCACCGGTACGAGTTCTGGTTCCGGATGTTGACGGCGATGGAGCCATCGGGCAGCTCATAGGGCTGCAGGGCCATGAGCAAGGGGTCACTATCCAAGACTCCCAAAAGACAGGGGCTGGACCCCATTTAACCCTTAAAGTGTGGGGTCCCACCTCTGCCCTCCAAAATGAGGATCCCCCACTTCCCCCCACACCCCAGTTTTCACCCTGTCTCTCCTACCTGGCACTCGTCAGGGGTGAAGTCCCGGGGATGGCGGGGGGCCCCAAAGGGAATGGCGGGCAGCGATCCCCCCCGCCGCCACCGCAGGCCCCCATCATCACTCAATAGCAGTGAGACCCCATCCCGCTCCAGTGTCCCATGGCCACAGAACACCAGGCGCCCGCTGCCCGGTGCATGCTGCTTCTGCAGAGGGGGGGCACAGACACCCTGTATGTGCATCCCTGTGCTGTCTCCCAGCTCCCCCCTGAGCCCTACCTCCCCCCTGTTCCTTGATGCCTGGGTCCCTTCTGACCCCCTCTCTGGGCACCCAGACCCCTGGATTTTCAGGTTATCATCCCACACATCCCAAAGATCCCCCCCACCCCAATCCCTGTGTGCCCCGAGGCCCCAAACCTCCAAGCCCCAACCCCAGCCAGATGCCTGGATCCCCCCAAACACCCACATCCCCCACCCCAGGGTTCCACCCAAACCCCTTCCCCAAGCTTTAATGCCTGGGCCTCCCCAAAGCTCCCCTTGGTCCCCCCATACCCCCTTGTACCTGGATGCCATAGCCAGGCCCTGGGGCAAACACCTCACTACCAACCACCCCTGAGAGGTTCTGGAGAGGTCCCCATGAGCGGCCGCCATCACGACTGCGCAGGAGGTGGGTGCTGGGGGGGCCGCAGGCCTGGGGGGGGTGGGCGCAGCGGGCGAAAAGCAGCAGCACCTCATCCCCTACCACCGCCAGGGCCCCCAGGTTCAGCCCATCCACTGCCGAGCCATCATCTGCAGCCACCCGCGTCGGGCCCCACGTTGAGCCTGGGGGGAAACATGGGCAGACCCCCCTGGAGCCCCACCAAGCCCCATAATCCCCCAAGGACTCAAAATCCTCCAGGGGACCCAAAGCGCCCCCAGACACCCCCCCCCCCAGGGAGCTCTCAGTCCCCCTCATCCAACACCTCTCCAACAGCCCCCAGAGCCCCCTCAGGAACCCCCGAACTCCCGAAGGATGTCTCAGACTCCCTAAATCTCCTTCAGGCCCCCTCGCAGGAACCTCTTAGACCTCCCACTGAACCCCCATGAACCCACCCGAGACCCCATAACCTTCTTTGTGCCCCCCCATTAACCCCCTTGACCCTGCCAATAACCCAATGTCCCCTTATAGCCCCCAACACTTCTCTTTCCCCCCCCATTAATGCCCTCCCAACCAGTCCAAAACTCCTTTCCCGCACCGCCATTCCCCCCCACACCCCTCAAATAGCCCCCACCCACCCACGTGTACACACACACCCCACACACCCCCACCAGCCCTCTCGGTGTCCCCAGCCCCACCTCCATCGGGGGAGTGGCGGCAGGCGATGAACTTGGCCCCCACATCGGCGGCCGAGCGCTTCCGGCCCTCGGCGCAGGCCACCAGCGCCCCCCCGCGGGTGGCGGCCACCAGCGGCACCCGGAAAGTGTGGACCCCGCCGTGCCCCTCCCCGCTCACCCACAGCAGCTGCTCCCGCACCACCCGCGGCCGCACCTGTGGGGAGAATGGGTTCAGAGGGGACCCTAATGTAGAGCAAGAGAGGTTAAAAGGGCAACAGCGGGTGTTGGGGTTCTGGGGGTCCGTCGGGGTGCGCTAGGGGCATTGGGGGGATCAAGGGAGGGGAAAGAAGTTTTGGAGGGGCCGGAGGGCATTAATTGGGTAAAGAAGGTTGTTGGGGGCTACAGGGGGGTGTTGGCGGCCATTGGGGGAGCAATTATGAGGGACAAAGGGGTGTTGCGGCACCCCAGGGTGTGGGCGGGTCCTGTCCTAGCCCCACCCCTACCCCCGGTACCGTGTCGGGGGTCGCGACCCAGCGCGGTGCGGCGCCAACAGCCAGGAGCAGACCCGCGAGGAGCCAGCACGGGCCCATTGCGGCCCTTTTAAGGCTCTGCTGGAGTCACGTGACACCGCTCCCAGGGGGCGGGACCAAACATTGAAAAGGCAACACCGGGCTGGGCGAGAGGTCCCGAGCCTTAAAGCTGCAACGGCCGAAGGGAGGCGGGGCAGAGCAGAGCCAAGCCTTAAACCGGCCGAATTGGGAGTGTTTACACAGGATTGGGTTTAGGCGATTTATCCAGAATTGAATTGAAATTATGTGTACAGGGACTGAAAATACAAAGGAATAAGGGACACCCACTTGTTCACGAGATTCACGCTAGACCCCTTTGCTTCCTAAACCCCTGACAGAGCCTAGGTGCTGCTGGACCTAGTCCCAGTCTTGGGACTCTGGGCTCTGGTCCTGGCCCCTCCGCCCCGCCCACGAGACCAGCCCCATGCTGGGCTGCGCTCCCCCGGACTCTCGGTGCTCTCCCGGGCTCCAGGCACAGGGATACAGCAGACTGAAGGAGCAGCTCAGTGAGCTGGTTCCAGGGGAGCACCTCAATGTTGTCGGTGCCAGGCTGTCGGTTCTAGAAGAGCATCCTGCCGTTGTCAGTTCTAGGGAAGCATCCTGCTGTTGTTGCCAGGGCAGCATCCCATTGTCATCACTACCAGGGCAGCATCCCATTGTCATCACTACCAGGGCAGCGTCCCTCTGTTGCTGTTACCGGGCAGCATCCCTCTGTTGCTGGTACCAGGGCAGCATCCCTGTTGTCTGCACCAAGGCAGCATCCTGCTGCCATCAGGACAGGGGCCATGGAGCCAGCGGAGGCCCCTGGGTGAGAGCGCTGGGCTGGGTCTGAGGCGCGCAGGAGGCAGAAGCCACCCAACACGAGTGAGATCCCTTCCCCTCCTCTCCCGGCCAGGGCTGCCCGTGGGCACTGGGAGGGGGCCCGGCTGACGCCTCCCTCCCCACCGAGCCCTGCAGCGAGCGGTGGTCTGGCTGCTGCCGGCCCCGTGCAGCCGGTTCCTCTGGAGCCAGCCGGACCAGCACCGCTGCAGCAAGTTCTTCCTGGGTGCCAGCATCGGGACCCTCCTTGGCCTTGGTGAGTGCTCCCGGTGCCAGGTGTGGCCAGAAGCTGGGGGTACCAGGGGCTCAGGGTGCATCTGCTGCTGTTGCAGGGCTCTGCCAGGTCTTTGTCATCCCCATGAACATCACAGAGACGCATAAGGTGCAGCTCTCCTATGGGCTGGCAGGTGAGGAGGGGGCCAGGAGGAACTTTTTGGGGTGATGGGCACCATTGGGAGCACTGGGGGGGTCTCGATGGGACCATGGGTACAGCTCCATCCTCCCACAGGAGTGACTGCCTTGGGCTGGGCCACGTCCCCCCACTTCCGCTGCGCCAGCCTGCTCGTGGTCCCCAAATTCTTCAGCAAGGAAGGTCGCGTCTACATCCTTTCCCTTGTCCTCGCTGCCATCTACAACGGTAGGTTGCCCCCTGCATCCCTGTCCCCCCCTTAGGGTCCCAAGGGTCCTGAGCCCCCACTTGCTGGCACCAGGGCCCGTGGCCAACATCTGGCACAACCTGGAGGAGGTGATGCGCTCGCTGGGCTGCGTGGCAGAGCTGCAGGTCAACCACAGCCGCATGCTGTGGCGCATGTCCACGGCGCCCCTGCGCAAGGTGATGGAGGACATGGTGGTGAGGCAGGGTGTTGGGGTGGGAAGGAGGGAGGGGGGCTGCACGGAGCGGGGTCAAGCCTCTGTGTGTGCCCACTGTGGCAGCTGAGCGGGCAGATGCTGAACTCTGAGGTGCAGAACATTTCACGTGCCTTTGTGGGGCTCAATGAGGAGGTGGCCAGCGAGGCTGGGTACGACCTGCGGCAGTCCCTGCACGCCAAGACCCAGCTGGCACCCAGCACCCAGCAGCTCTATGAGACCAAGACCAAGCTGCACTGCAATAGTGAGGAGGGAAGGGAGCTGCACCCCCCGGCACCAGCCTCACCAGGCACCACACGTGGTGACCGGGATGGTGGGGTTGGGGCTGCATCAGCTCAGGCTCCTGTCCATCAGATGTGGTCGAGCTGGGCATGCAGCGCTGCCGGGTCTGGTTTGACACCAAGTACGATGCTTGCATGGAGCAGATATTCGTGCCCCTCGTCAACCACTTCCTCTGCCTGCCCATGAAGTTCAAGTTCCTCTGCCACATTGTGAAGGGTGGGTAGCGTGGGGGACCCCTGCCCTGGTCACCCTGAGTTGAGGCAATGCCAGCATCATCCTCACTGTGTCCCACAGTTATGAATAGCTGGTGCAGGGACAAGATCTCCGTGGAGGGCAACTTTGGGCAAACATACGACATGGTGAACAACTCGGTCAGCAACCTCAGCCAGGAGTTCAGCACCAGCGTGGTCTTCCAGGTGGGTGCCATGTACCGTCTGTGTGGCACAAGGCTTGGACGGGACCCAGCCAGACCCACAGCCCCTGTGCTGCAGGAGGAGCACCGCGAGATGCTGTCGGTCACCACCAACGTGTCTGCAGAGCAGCTGATGGAGGAACTGACCTCACACTTCCAGGAGCACAGTGCCCGCCTGGGCCAGACTTTCTCCATCTTCCGCCTGGTTCTTTCCTTCTCCTTCATCCTCGTCTTCATCACGTGAGCCCTGGCATGGGAGGGCGTGCGGGGTTCGGGCACAGAGAGACAGGGTCTTCTTTTGGCAGCAGGTCTGGGGTGAGGGGAAAGGCATGAAGACAAAGGAGGAATGCTGGAGAGCCAGTCCCTGGACCCCCCCTTCTCTTGCCAGGGCTTTCTCCTACACCAAGCGGTATTGTCAGGACATCTCTTACGACAACCTCTACATCACCACCTACTTCCGTCAGATCGATGCACGCCGCAGGAAGGAGGTGAGGGGGTGCAGGTGGCCTTGCACCAGGGCCGGGGGCTGCAGGGGCTGTGCTGAGCTGCCCCTGCCCCTTTCCCAGGGCAAGCGGACGCTGCTGCCGCTGCTCCGTGCAGAGGCCTCGGCCTTCATCTTCCCGTGCCGGCCCATGGTGCAACCGCTGGAGATGCAGAACATGGTGAGGGGGCCGGGCAGGTGACACGACGGGAGGTGGGTCAGCTGGAGGAGGCTGCAGGACAGGCTGCAGCAGATGCTGCTCCCCACAGGTGCTGGAGCTGCTGGAGTGCATCCCTACCCTGCTCTTCCTCCTGCTGGCCTGCGCCATGGACCACGTGCTGGTCAGCATGCTCAGCACCATCCAGCAGCACTCCTCTGTGCAGTACTCCTTCCACAGTGAGTCCCCAAGCCCACAGCAATGCAAAGAGGGGGGGGGGATGCGTGTGTGTGCCCCTTCACAGCTTCACATGCCCCCACAAGCAGCCATCACTTGTCCATCCACGTTATGGGCACGTCCCTGATGGCGCGGCTCCTGCGGAGTACCATCGGCGCCCTCAACACCTCCTCTGACACCCTGCTGGAGACGTCCAACTTGGGTGAGCCCCCCCCCAGGGGATGGACACCCCATGCCCATCACAGCTCCACAGCCTGAGCAGGGGCTCAGCGCCACCTCATGTCCCCAGTGTGCCTGCCGCAGCCGCGCCGCATGAGCCAGCACCAGTACCTGAGCAGCTGCCTGCCCCTGGCCGGGCTGGCGCTGCTCTGCCTGGCCCAGGTCTACACATACCGCCTGCGCCGTGTCATCGCCGCCTTCTACTTCCCCAAGGTGAATAGCAGCCCCTCGGGGGGGGGTGGGCAGATTTTGGGGTGAGCCCATAACCTGGACCATAACCTTGGGGTGGGCTCATGGTGTTGGCAGCGGGAGAAGAGCCGCGTGCTCTATCTCTACAACAAGCTGCTGCAGCAGCGCCTGGACTTCATCCAGCGGCAGTGGAAGCGCATTATCCAGCAGGCACAGCAGCCCCCAGGACTGGTGAGTGGGGCTTCACTGTTCCCCCCAACCCCAGGGTTCTGCTCTGCCATGGGGCCTGCAGCTCAGCCCCACACATCTTCATCCCTAGGGCACAGCAATACTGCACTGGTGCTGCCGCCGCTGGCCCTGCCTGAGCCACTGGATGCGCCGGAGCTGCATGGTGTGTGGGATGCATGTGGGGCCCCCAGAGCCCGCCTGCCCCGCACCTGCCTGTGCAGCCCCGTACTGCCGGCAGTGCTGGCGCAAGGCAGGACGTGTCTGCCTGGCCTGCGCCCCCCCGGAGCCCAGCCCTGATGCCGACAGCAGCGACGAGGGTGTGGGGTACACGGGCTGAAGGCATGAGGAAATAAAGTATGAGACCCCCCCGTGTGCAGCAAGTGGGGTCCAGGAGAGAGAGGGGGGAAAGGGGCTGGAAAGGGGACCTTAAAGCTCATCCAGTTCCAAGCCCCTCCATCCCCCTCCCTTAGCCCCTGTTTCCCCCTTTCTCACCTCACCACTCCCTCGCTCACCAGAGACAACAGGAGCAACATAAACTTGACCCTAAAGGGGAGGTCTCACCCCTAAAGGCAATGGAGGAGCATATGAGCTTGAAGGCATCACCTTCAAGCCACCCTGGTCCCTGCACAGAGGGAAGCTCAGCAGCAGTGTGGAGGGAGGGGGTTTATTTCAAAAGACGGTAAGACAATTGTTCCATTTAGTATCAAAACACTTGATAAGGTTCCTTGCTCCGGCTTGGCCCCTAAACCGGCTACAACCAGGCAGCATGCTCACACAAGAAGCGACACACTGTGAGCCTGACACGTCTCCACACTCACACCTCACAGCGACACGTCAGCAATGCACAGCAAGATGGCTTGTACCTTATTAAGACACTAAGAGCACTCCTGGCCAGGGGAGAAGGCCTCGATCCCTTCCCTTGGGGCAGGCAAAAAAAGCTTCCCCAAGCGAACAAGGCTGTTGTACTTAAGCTGTTGAGTGCAAGCCAGCACTGAGTGCTAAAGCTTGGTGGGTCAGCACTCAGTGAAGGCAAATTCAGCTCCTGTGTAGCAATGGGTTAGAGGGGCCATGGCTTCTTCAAGGGGAAAAGAAATGGCCAACAGTGAGGGGGAAGAGAAACAACCCCTGTGAAGGTTCAACTGGCCAGGGAACTGCCTGGTTTTAGAAGTCTCCTTCTACCCAGGTTGCTTCTCCGCAAGTTACCTTAAAGCTGAGAAACTGAACTGCTCTTTTGGCAAACAGGCTCCTGGAAAGGAATTTTTCCCAATGGGCTCACATCACTATCCCAGCTGCTCCCATCAGGTGGCCCACAGTCGGAACCATGAGCCGCCCCCAACTCCCTCCCCAGCCAAGGCAGGACGACCCAGAGCTGGTTAACAGAAGGTTAATACCCAATTGTAAAGCCAAGAGCTTTGAGTGCAGCTCAGCAGCCTCACTGGTTACTCGGAATGTTCACACTGGTTACTACAAAAAAGAAAAGGTACTTACAAAATGTGTACATCTCAAAACATGCTCCCAAACATTATTGCATTGCTCGTTTCCCTTAATAACGTTGTTTGAAGCTCTGCCCAACCTGATGATGGCCTTTAACCCCGAGGCAAGGGAGAAGAGCTGCGTTTGGTCAAGTTAGCAACAGGAAGCAAACTCTGGTCCCAAGGGTTAGAGGCCAGCAGCAGCTGGGCCAGCGCGGGCATGGCGTGGCAGAGGCAGTGGTGGGGATCCATTACATCTCGTTCAGGTCTAGCAGGGTCTGGTCCAGCATTCTTTGCGTGCAGAGATGCTCCTCTTTGGTGGATTTCAGCTTATCTGGCAGGAAGCAAGAGTCAAGAGTTACCAGTGAGCCTCAGCCCCAGGAGATGCCTCGGCCATGGCAAGCATGGGACAGCCCCTTCCCAGCACTGCCACAGCGGGGCCTCGACCCAGGGGGCTGCCTAGGTGTAGGAGAAGCTCTGGAGTTACCTGGCTCATTGGTAGCCCCCTCACACAGCCGGTGCTTCTATCTGCATGGACACCATGTGCTCTTAGCGCTCTGGGCTGTGCTTTGCATGCAGGTGCCTCCAACCGGAGTTGGCTTCACCCAGGGATTCAACACCTCCAGACAGCCAGCAATGCACCCAAGAGCCAAAACACCCACAGAATCCCCCCCTGCAGGTACAGCTGCTTGTGCCCCCCTTCCCCAGCACAGAGATGCTGAGCTGGTCACCAAGACCGTGACTACCTAGCAGCAGGGAGCACAGAACCATGCCTCTAGGAGAGCAGGGAGAGACTGCTTTCAGTGGAGGGCAGGCAGACAGCAAGGAGGAGGAAAGGGTACTGCAACTGTGACTGATACTACAGACAATTCTCACATGTTCCTTAAGCCAGGAGGAGAGCTCAGATCAGTAAGCAGCACTCTAGGTAGGCTTAACTCCAAAGGTGAGCCCACCCTGATCACTGAGGACATCCACTCGCTGGGACACGGCACAGACAGGCTGTGGAAAGATGTCCTTTAGGTACAGGCAGATCCTCAAGGCCGCTCCCCAACCTCCTCAAGGTCAGTGCACAGAGCAAGCCTTCCCAGAGCACCAACAACGGCAGCCTTGAGAGGTTCCCTGCAGGCACCCAAGATACAGGTTCGTGCTGTGCATTTCAGGATGGCCAGGAGCTTTCCCAACGCTGGGAACAACCATTTCCCCTCAACCTTCTAGTTTAGGACCCAGTGTTTTACAGAGCAGGAGTCAGTCATTTATTGTTAGAAGCCATCATTCCATGCAGCAGGAATCCCTACAGTCATTCAGCTAACAGTAAATGAAGTCATAGCACCTGACAGACAGCTTTTAGCAGGCAGAACCCTAACTTCACCCCGGTCCTCTCCCAGGGTAGGGTGCAGCCATTTTGTTTCCATGGAGGAGCCAGGCAGGACACCCTGGACAAGGGACCAAGAGTGTTCAATGAACAGCCAAGCCCGAAGGTTCCTTCACTAAGAACAGAGGTTACCTTTCTAAAACCAAAGTAAATCTGAAGTAAATGAGAGGATTAATTCAAGGGCCCTATTAAATAGCAGCAAATGCATAAGATGCGCAAGTCTGCCAGTCATGAATGGGCAGATGCCACTGTGGTGCACAGCAGTGGTGGTGCCAAGGAGCACGTTTAATGGGATTAGTGGCCCCCTCCTCAGTCACACAGATCATGCAGCGTTAACTTGAGCTCGTGTGAGAGCAGGCGGTTTCTCTCAAGCTGGCTGTACAGGTGCTCTGCAGCAGCGACGGGATGAGGGGAAACAAGAGAGAAAAAGAGAGAGAAAGGGCAGGTTAGTGGAGGACCAAGCTGAGCACATCCAATATCTATGTAATAGCTAGGCTATGACACAGAAGAAGCTGGGAGGACAAGGGTTTATCTTACTAACGTGGGTTCCATCTCTCAAAGATCACAGAGGAAACCAAGTGTGAGCACAAATGGGCTTGTGAAGGCAAAGAAAGAGGAGAACACCAAGACACGCAGGCTGGGCTGGACCCAGTTCAGGAGAGAGCCTCAGGCTGTGCTTTGCATGTGGAGCACTGCAGAAAGAAGTAGTCCTACCACAGCTGAACTAGAAGTACCTTCCAAAGACAGCCACACCACACAGCACGGGACCGGTGGGTTTTTAACAGGGACATCAGAAGAAAAGAATGGCAGCACCTCATACCTGAACCTGGAGGATGCTCCTCCAAGGACATACCCTTGGGCCTCACTTAACAACTTGCCACATCTAGACAAGGCCTGAAGGCAGGATCTGCTTCGGCGATAGGACAGAGGAAGCTCTGGAGAGCAGGCTCCTGTGTTAGGTCTGTCCCAGAATAACTACATGAGTAGGATACAACCCCTCTGCAGGGGCTCAACACCATTCCTCACTGCTTTCAATGAAGGAATTGCTTGCTCTTGAACAAGACCTGGCCAGGTAGAGTCAAGCTGTTCACATGGAGCAGCCAAAGCACGTCCCCATTTCCAGTGTCTCCCCCAGCCACACAGTGGGGAAGCCCGTATTCACCCAGCTCCCATCAGCACTTGCTCTAGCTGCACCACACACAGAAGGTAGTAATGCTGCTTGTCCCTTCTCTAAGTCTACCAAGAGACCCAGCAAAGGCCAGAGAAGCCAACAACTTATGTTCCACGACAGTTGAAACAGAAGTTGCAGTATGCGGGATGGGTACATCCTATCCTGGCCTATATAAAAGCCTACCTCACACATAAGCTGCTGCTGCTGCTGCTGCTAGGGGCTCACTCTCTGGCCTCCATGCTGACTCTGACCTGGGCATCCTGACACCAGCCTCCAGCCCCAAGTGATCAGGGCTGGTCCTGTATCCCCAGAGTAGCAGAGGATGGGAGTCAACTGTGATCACAAGCACAGCCCAGCTCAGGGTAACCAGCCTGCACAAGTGGGTCAGAGCACAAGCCTCTCCACACCACCCAGTGCAGAGGTTGCACCACCCACTCCTCCATGTACCACCCAGCATGGAGTACCAAGGAGGGAACGGGCCTGCCACAGCCCAGCCTTCAAAAGCACTTGCAACACTACTGTGCAACAGCAGAGCCACCAGCTCCACACAAGGCAAGTCATAAACCCACCACTCCCAGGACCGCCCCATGAGGAAAGAGACCATTGCACAACGGTGAAATGGTGCCACCTCCCTCCTGGGAAAAGCTGACAACTCCAGCAACAAGAGCTGACAACTGGAAGCCTCCACACACCCAGACACTTGTGACACAGAATCTAGACCCTCTAATCCAGCTGCAGGTCTGGTCGCTTGCTTTGTGCTCACAGGGCACGAGTTCTTGCCCATACTCAAGGGGAGCTAGAGCTTTCCAAGCTCTTACCCTGTGAAATTCCCCCCCCACCAAGACCCGGCAGAGAGCAGACAGCCCTGACCCAGAAGACACAGAAAGAACAGGCTGGGGCAGCTCAGCGTGTCTGGGCTACCCTCATGGCTAGTGCCATTTGTGTGGAGAAGAGAGTGGCACAAACCTGAGGAAACCATGGGAGATGTCCCAGTTCATCAGGACTCTGCTCACGAAGGGCTCTTCGGGCTCTGGGGCAGATGAACCAAGCCAGAAAGGACAAAATATGTGACAGCCACCCATGAGGCAGCACAAACAGTCACAATAGGCTGAGCAGTGTTTATGGAGCAGAGCAGCAGTGGTGATGCACAACAGTGTTCACTGGGAAGCTCCGTGCCACGCTCCCAGCAGGATCCCAGCACCCTGCACAGGGAGCACGTGGCAAAGCACAGATTCCCTGCCTCCATTCCTGAAGCAAGGACCCCTGTCCCCTCAGGCAGCATCTCACACCCAACCAGTCCTGTCCAACTGGAAACCAGCCACAGCTCACTCATTTATTAGCTCACACACCCAGCAAGTGACTTGGTGACTATGAGGATGGTGACTTCCCACCGCGAGCCGGCACTTGGGAATGCCAGTGAACACTATGAAGCAGGCAGCTGTGCGCAGTGTCTTCAGCAAGTCTGAAGCAGGAAGAGCTCAAGTTGCTCCTGCTACAAGCCCCACCCTTCCATTTGCTGGCAAGGCTGAACCCTTTGCAGAGCTGCACTTTACATTTGTGAGCCAGGAAAACACCCCAAGGGAAAACTCCAGCATGTGAAGAAAGTGTGTGTATTCAGCCAAGGGTGATGAGGGTTACACTGGTTTGAAGGCACCACTGAAACAGTTACTCTAAAGCAGCAAGTGGTCACTAGAAACCCATTTCTCCAAAGCATCAGCCCTTCTATTCCATTTATGCAAAAACTGTTTTCCTTAGAAAAGGTGACATCATGCTCAAGCAAGGGGCAAGAGAAATACAAAAGGAGCTTTATGGCTCTACATAAGATATGCAGATGAGAACAATATACTCCCAGTTACACCCAGCCGTGGAAAGGGCAGCCCTTCAGAGCACAGCCGTGTCTGGCACATCAGGTCAAACAGAGGGAGCTTTGTTTAGGAGCGAGTGCAAGTGCTGTCAAGCTTCAGTGTCTTTACATTATGAATTCCCAGGGATGCCCTGTGCACAGTAACTGAGAAAAGGCACTGGAATTCAGAGAGAGGTGCTGAGAGTGTGAACGCAGGGTGCAGATGCAGAACAAGCCACCAAGCAGAAAGGCAAATCCAAAGTGTGGAATCACAAGACTTATCTGTGTGAGACAGAAGACACTCATTTTAAGAAAGACTGAAGTGTTTGTGAACAGCAAACTTTACTTAAGGAGCTTTCAGACACTAGCATTAAGGCTCTTCCTCTGCAGGTCAGGTACCTGACCTGTCCGTGGTTAGTGTGCAGGACGGTGCAGAGCAACAGTTAGAGCAGAACCTGCTGCATATTTCAACATAAAGCCAATTAGCAAAGTGGCAAAACCAGACAAGTTCAGCTACTTCCACAGATCAGCTCATGATCCAGCCCATCTCAAGCCTGTTAATGGCAATTCCTAAGGAATACACTCGAGCACTATGCACAGCCTCTTCCAGGAGGAATTCCGAGACCATGGCCCAGTGGCTCCAGCAGGCAGCTAAGCCACATTACCTTACGAAGCCTGTCCCAATGGCACTTCGAATTGCAAGTCATAGAGTTCAAGTCAGAACCCTTTGAGGCCAGTAGAGCACTTAGCGTTACACATGCAGCTCACAAGGACCTAGAGAAGAGCATGCTGCAGGAAAACCTCCCAGTGCTGGAGGCAGGGATCTGTAGAAGTAACGAAGACACAACAGTGCCATCGACTGTCCACCTCTGAAGACCACAGCACACCAAGCCTGCTGAAGCAAGAGGCAAACACCAGCCAGATCATATTTACATGGAAGTCATGTCATTCAAGGCGTGGTCCAGCTCCTCACTAATTGCTTTGTACTTCAGTTTCTGGGCATAGAGCTCATCTAGAAGATGTTGAGGGGGAGAACAAAAGGGAAACAATGAGGGAAGGCAGAGAAGTTCTTCCAGCAGTCTGGGGCAGGAAAAGCAGTATGGGATTCATGAACTGGAGAAACTGAAGTTAGATGTGGAGCCATCCCAGCTCCAGGTTAGTTCCTGACAATGAACAGGTGGGTTTGAACAGCCTGAGGACAGTGTGACCAGCAAGTGCCTTCCAAAATTACACCCAGCTCCAGGGGAAGCAGAGCCAAGACCTCAAACCACAGCAGCCTGTGAGAACAGTTAAGGTAAGTCAGCAAACCCCACTGACAGGAGGAGCAGGAGGGAAGGGCAACTCCATCCACTTAGGGAGAAGCTTGCTCCACCTAAGGAAGGCACAGATCAATTCAGGGGCTTCATTCTTCCCTTCAACCTCAATACAAAAACAGGTTTGGGAGCAACTGATCACCCCATAGGCCTGGGCATCAGAGACAATTCCCACTTTGCAGGCCACAGCCAGGCAGGCTGAGCCAAATAGACAGGCCACATGGGTGTTCTCCATCAGGTAAGATGGATGCATGAAGCAGACAGGCCTTCGGAGGAGGAGGTGGTCCTGAGACTCATATCCATGCACTCCTTGAGTACAAGACCTGGTGCAGCCTTGTCCCAGCTCTGCCTGCTCAGGCTCCAGTCCAGCTGGGAATGCTGTTAACAGCTTCCCAAGGACCAGAGAACTCCATCAGTTGTCATAAACTAGGTCACTCCATCAGCAAGGCTGGAGGCCAGAGCCCGCTCTCAGCCAACATGTTTCCAGGGGAAGCATGCAGGGATTTAGAGGAGGTTTTGCAGTTCCAAGTAAAAGCTTGCCCTGGCTGGGCTTGCTCTTGGCTGTGGTTCTGGAACAGCTCAGCTGACACCATTGCTATTTCTAGCTACAAACCCCTTCTGAGTGACTCCAGATGGTAGGATATGGCTTTCAATCCCCACGACCTGGCACAAAAAGCCTAAAGGAAGCCATCCGTGGCACACGCTGACCACACTGCAGGGACAGGGCTTGTGGTGATTTCATCTTGAACCAGAACTGACAATGGGGAGTTTGAGACTTCGGGGGTGCTGTTTCAAGAGTCAATGACTACTGTGGTTGACTTGTAGCACAACAGCCACATGCATGAGATCCTGCACACATGTATGTTATTATAAGAGATTCCTGGGAAGTTCAGGTGCTCCTCTCCATAAATTGGGTGAAGCTAGAGCAGAGGAACCCAGTTACATTCCTGAGGACATCACAACCAAGACGTTGCTGTCTGTCTCTACCAGTCAGATACAGTAAGGTGTTTACACGGAGAGCTGAAGACCTGCCACAGCACAGCCAGGACACTGCCTTTAGAGCAGATACAAAGGGCACGACTCGAGCCAAGAGGCATCAAAGCCTCACCTTGGAGCGTGATCAAACTCTGCCTCCAAGGAGTGAGGAGCAGAGCAGTGTCTCCATTCTCCAACTCTTTGGAAGGGAGCTTTCCTCAGCGTCCCCCTCCTCACCACATACTCCCCGGCTTCCCATCCCCAAGATGTACCTTCCAAATCATCAATGGTCTTCTCCAGCTTCGCTACAGACCGCTCAGCAAATTCAGCACGGGTCTCTGCCTGCAGGAAGAAGCAAGCCCATTAGTACAACAGCTTTGGAGTACAGCAAAGGGTTATGGAGGCATCCGCCTGAGGACATGAAGTCTCCTGCCTTCCACATCTCTCCCCAGTCGACCAGCTGCGCCACCCTGACATGGTCCCTCACCTCTTTGAGTTTATCAGTCAGGATCTTGATCTCTTCTTCGTATTTATCCTCTTTTTGGGAGTACTGTGGAAAAGAACAGGAGTCAGCAACCAGCAGCCCTCAGCAGCCCCACAACCTCCCACTCCCACAGCTACAGAGGAAGACAACTCCTCCATTGCAGTGCACATGCCTGCAGAAACTTCCAGCTGGGAGCTGCTCATCCCCACCCCAGTCCAACAGAAGTAGGTCAGGGACTCCCACACCATGCACAGAACAAACCTGGATACAAATTCTCATCCTAGCAGCTGATCTGAGTCTGCCCCAGGGCAGGGCACGGCAGCCAGGCTCCCCACAGCTCCTACAGTCAACATTAGCACTGAAATCTATTAGCTCTTTGGGGAGCAGGGATAGGTCTCCTTGCTTGCTTAAGGCTGCAGTTGTGCCATTTCCATCCCAGTGGGTGCTCTGCTGTCACACACCCTCTGAGCAAAAGAGAAATGTTTCTGGCCCTTGGACACGCAGCCCTACCTTCTCAGCCTGAGCCTCAAGAGACTTGAGATTGTTGGTGACATTCTTCAGCTCTTCCTCCAGCTCGGAACATTTACTGTGGGGTTGTGTAAAGAAAAGGAGGAGGAAAAAGGCAAAGAAGAAGTGGGAGGGAAAGACAGGAGAAAAAGAAGTGAATCCATGTGCAGGGAAGAGCAGGAAGTTCTTAAGGAGACGGGCTGTGATCAGGGTGGATGGGAGCCTGCTTTGAGGCACCTGTGCAGAAAGCAAGTTCCCTTCCCACCTCCAAGTTTGTATTGGAAGTCTTCTGCCAGCACATGCACAGGGCACTGAGCTGAGCAGCCGAGGTGTGAACACAGACTTCGGCCAGACCTGGAATCTTCCAAGTAGAAACCACACATTTAGTTTGCTGTAAGGAGGGAACCTGTTCCGATGGACACATGGACCTCCACCACCACTGGGACAGGAACATTGATGGGCAGAGGACAGAACATTCCAGGAAAAAGATGCAGTTAAGCTGAGGGAAGAAACATGGGCAAGAAAACCAGGAGAGTTGTGTTTTAATGGTTCCAGAAGGGAATGGTTAGTACCTTGTCTTCAGCAACAGACAGACACCTCAAGTGCTGGTCCATCACTCGGATCTGCTCCCGCAGCTCCCGGCAACGACTATTAGTGACGGTCACACGATGGCAGAAGCCAGGTGGGGACAGGGGTCAAAAGGAGTACCAAGAACACAACACCACAGAGGGGAAGGGGAAGAACACAAAGAAGTCACAGTCATGACATGCATTCTGGGCAGGAAGCACAGTGCTACTGCTGCAAACACACTAACTTTGTTAGACAAGGCCCAGAGTACAGAAAGGACCTGACCAGCTCAAGGACTGGCTAAAGCATTTGGACATGTGAAAGGTGCCCAGACACCACAGTCTGCATGTGTGCTCCAAGCAGAGGCAGCCCAGCTCACTGCTCAGCACTGCACAAGTCTGCAGTGGTTACGCAAAGGATAAGAGGCCAAAGACCAAGATCAGCCCCAGTTCTGCCCTTGGACATTCTCCATGCCACTTCAGTCCTGACCCACAAGGCCTCCACTGCTGCAGGAGAAGTGCTGTGCACTCATGTGCTCTGTTAGCAATGCGTAAGGATCTTGTGACCATGCACACAAAGCAGTGCTGGTGACCACCAAGTGGAGATGGGTTCTCTGGCCTGGCTAACTAGGGAGTGCCTCCATGTCAAGGGGCAAAACATCTCCACTAAAAGGCAAATCACATAATTGCAAACTCCACATCCTCAGTGGACCTGATCCTCTTGTGAGCAGAAGAGTGCTTCCAAGCCATTCTTCTGAGGATCTGAACTCATCCTGTGCTTCAGGCCTTGTGTAACAAGATTAGGAATGCTGTGTTAGTTCCCATGCAAAGACAGATGTGCCAGTTACATGCAAGCAGATTACTCACGACTCTGCAAGCTCAGCTCTCTCTTCAGTACGCTCTAGATCTCCTTCTATGATCACCAGCTTTCGAGCAACCTGGAACAGAGAATTAGAGTGAAGAGGAAGGAAAACGATTCTGTATTTGTAGGCTCTGCAGAGCAGTAAAGGGAAAAGCTGTAGGAGTCAGTGGAGCTGCCAGAGCCTTTTGGCTGTGGGGAACACAGATGGAGCTCTCTGAAAGCCAGGCTCTCCCACCAGGTTTGCTGAGGAAAGCCCTGTCAGCAAGAAAAGGAGCTGCCTCTCCTGGCCTGGGTCAGCTGCACTACAGCATCCAAGGCTCTCACCTCCTCATACTTCCTGTCTGCCTCCTCTGCAATGTGCTTGGCTTCCTTGAGCTGGATCTCCTGCAGCTCCATCTTCTCTTCATCCTTCAGAGCTCTGTTTTCAATTACTTTCATGCCTCTGCCCAAAAGAATGCACAGGGAGGGGAGATGTAGAAAAAAAAGATGTACAAGCCACTGGTGTAATGAGCTTTGGAGCATTAACAGTGCTCCCCTGGACCACGTTGCTTCCTTATGAGCCATGACACCTCCAAGTGCACAGGGGGGCACGGGAAAGCAGAAACTACTGGGCTGACACAAATACAGCAACCTCGATTGCTCAGAATTAACTGTTCCTTGGCATGTTCCTCCAGCAGCTCATTGGGCTCCTGGTTAAAAGGAAATGTGATGCTTCTGAGGGGAACAAGCCAGGCTGTCTTAGGGGCTGAGCCAAGCACTTTCCAGGCTGGAATGCAGGAAGAGCCAAGTCCATCTTTATGGCAGGCCATGAGCTGGGTCAGGCTGCTCACTACAAGCATTTGTACCAGTGAGGCACAGCAGCCAGCTGGAAGTGCACCACTCCCCTTCTGAATCACAGAGCCAGGGCAGGGGCCATCTGCCAGCAGGGAGAATGCTGGCAGAGCCAGTGCAAACAGATGCCTCCCCATCAGCAGACACTTTTACAGGTCAACAGTGTCCCAGAACCCACCTATTTCGCCTCACTTGGAGACAGGGATGCATTGTAGCACACAGCACTTACTCAGTCCTTAGCCTCAGGTTCTAAGATACCCACTCAAGGCCAACACACTGTTGTACCTGCTCTGCATAAGCAACTCCCACAGGCAACCTTGATGTGGTATCTCCTTCCCACCCTCCAGGAGGCCCAGGAGGTTGATGGCACTGAGCCCTCAGTCAGGAAGAGGGCTGAGATGTTTGAGGGAGTGAAAGCAGATCCCTTGCTCACCTTTCACTTTCATCTGCAGCCTTCTCTGCCTCTTCCAGCTTCTGCAGAGCTGTGGCAAGGCGCTCCTGGGCTCGGTCTAACTCCTCCTCTACCAGCTGGATACGGCGGTTCAGAGATGCCACTTCTGCCTCAGCCTGGAGGAAAGAGATGAGTGTGACTGATTGTTAGCACAGGGCAGCTGAGCTCTGCATTCAGGTCAGCGATAACACATGGGAAGCCCGAAACAAAATGAGGGTGCTGCACCCACTGCCTTAGAGGCTTCATGCCAGCACTTCACACACAGCTCTCTGGCTACACAGCGACTCAGCCTGCAGGTTTCCTGCCTGTCACTTCAAGCTGACGTGACAGTTGAAGCCATCAACACTAAGGAGATGCCTTACACTAATGGCTCTTCTCTGCAGCTGCTGTGCTCCTGCCAGGCATCAATCACAACAGTATTCAGCCACCGCACCAGAGCTGGGTGACAGCTACCATTTAGCACAGCTTCCTCACATGATCTGGACATGGGCATTGCTTCAAAGCAGGCCTCTGCTCAGCAACAGAAGAGGGATGAACAGCTCCAGAGGGCTGCCAAGCTGGGGCAGGGCACTGCAGTGCCCACAATCTGCAGCTCAAGTCTCAGGGAGCCAGTGGGGCTCCAGGCTTCCTTCGCCCAGCGGTTTGCTCACAGAAGGAGCAGCAGCCTCAGCCAGCCTTGAGGCAGCTTGAGGCAGCTGCTCCCCAGTAACAGCAATGCTTAGACAGCCACCTTGGTTCAGCTGTACCCACCCGGAGCTGGTGCACTTGCTGAGAGCCAGAAGTGTGACTACAGAAGTGTCACCACAAAAGGGAGCAAGGCTTTTAAGGATCCAGCAGACAGTGGCCATCCCACTGCCCAAAGCAGTGCTGCTCTAACAGCTCTGGCATCAACCAGAGCATGTCTGCTTCCAGTCTGTGTCAAGCCCAACCACAGGGGAAGCCCGGATGCCTCGGGGACACTAACACCTCACCCAAACTCCTGCTCTCCAAAAGGACTAGAGCACTGGTACAAAGACACACAGGGCTGCAGGCATGTCAGGGCAGCACTGTGATCTTCCACAGGGACCCATGCACATGCCAGGCATATGTGGAATATCCCAGCAGTGTGCAACAAAGCAGCCTGCAAGGCCATGGGTGGGAGGAGCAGAGCCATGAAAGGAGCCAGTGTTAGAGCAGGGCTGAGAGAAACCCTGTGCAGTGGCCAGGAGGGGCTCAGCACCTCGGTACAGCATGCTTCAAGCCCAGGGTGTGAGAACACAAGGTGAAGAGGAGCTCCTGTGCTCCCATCCATGAAACACAACTGGGAAGGAGCCTGCCTGCCACAAATGGCTTTCACCTGTGAACGAGGCAACGGTGGGAGAGCCTCCTCCTTCTCGCAGGAGCTGGAGACACAACAGCACAGGAGGCCTGACCATTTCGTGATGCCCTGAACCTCAGCATCCAGCCCTGGCTTCCTGCAGGCAGCTCTTAACCCACCCGAAAGCACCACCCGTCCTTCCTTACAGGAAATGCCAGAGCATGGCGTGATGTCTCCAGGCATTCCCGTTGCTCTGGGCTTCCTTCAGGAGCCTTGCAAGCCAAAGGAGAGCTCACTTTGGCTTCCCCAGGCCATGGAGCTCCACCAGGGGGGCCACGAACCAGGCCAGAGGCAAGCGCAGGCCACACTGGGAGCACGGATTCCCTCCCCAGGAGCAGGGCTCAGGCAAGCCGGGAGAAACACCCGTTCCCTTGACAACAGCACCCCTGTCAGAGAATTCCTTACGTGGCTGCAAAGCGAGAGCCTGGCAGAAGGCTGCGAGGGGCCAGAAGCTTCTGCCGCCAGCCCCCATGGGCAGCAGAGCCCGAGCAGCCCCACAGCAGCAGCAGGGCCCAGGCACTGACGTGGAGCTGGCTGCCCCAGCGCTGCTCGCTGATCCTTCCTTTTTTCTCTCTTTCTCTCCCTCCCCTCCCAGCCCCTGCAGCCCGTCCCAGCCCGATCCAGCCCCGCCCACGCTCCCCCCAGCCCTCCGGGGCCGGGGGCTCACCCCTCGCAGGGAGGGACCCGGACCCGGACCCGGGCCGGGCCCCGCACCCCACAGCTCGCTTCCATTTTCCCCGCACACGCCGAGGCAGCCCGCAGCTTTGTGCTCGCAGCGCCGGACCGCACAAGATGGCCGGTTCCTTTCCTCCCTCCCTCCCCCGCAGCACGGACCCCCGGGCCCAGCCGCTTCCAGCCTCGGTAACGCTGAAAGGCAGCTCCACCGCACCAACCGGGCCCGGGCCTCAAGGCGGGGAAGCCCCGAGGCCCCGCAGCCACCGCGGCGGGCGGGATCCGATCGCTGCGAGCTGCCGCCCGTCCGAGCACTGGAGATCCGGTGCCCGCAGCCGCGGCACCCCCAGCGCTGGTACCGACCGCCGGTACCTGCTCGCGGTTGCGGCGCTCGGCCTCCACCTCCCGCTGCAGGCGGTCGGCCCGTTCCTCGGCGTCATCCGCCTGCTGCTGCAGCACCTGGATCTTGCGCTTCACAGCCTCGATGGTGGTAGCCCCCGCCATGCTCCGCTCCCGGCCCCGCCGCGCCCCGACACACCGGAACGAGGCCCCACCGCCCGGGAACTGACGTCACTTCCGTCCGCCCCGCCCGGGGGTTGCCATGGAGACGAGGAGCCGCCGTGGCGGGAGGTGGGGGGTGCCCCGCGGCATGACCCACGTGTGGCGGGGGGGGGGTTCCAAGCGCCCAGCAAGGGAGCTCCTCCAGCTCCAGCCCCTGCCATGGCAGGGACCCCTTCCACTGGAGCAGGATGCTCCAAGCCCCTGTGTCCAACCTGGCCTCGAGCACTGCCAGGGATGGGGCAGCCACAGCTTCTCTGGGCACCCTGTGCCAGCGCCTCAGCACCCTCACAGGGAAGAGCTTCTGCCTAAGCGCTCAGCTCAGTCTCCCCTCGGGCAGGTTCAAGCCATTCCCCTTGCCCTGTCCCTACAGGCCCTTGTCCCAAGCCCCTCTCCAGGTTTCCTGCAGCCCCTTTAGGCACTGGAGCTGCTCTAAGGTCTCCCCTTCAGGAGCCTTCTCTTCTCCAATGTGTTGTCCCCTGGCAATGCCCTTCCCCCCTGCCCATACGTACGTCCGCTGCCTTCTTCTCCGCCAGCTCCAGCTTCTCCTGAGCGTCCTTCAGAGCCTCTGAGTACTTGTCCAGCTCATCCTCTGTCCCCTTCAGCTTCTTCTGCATGGAGGCCAGCTCATCCTCCAGCTGGAACGGCAGCAACGGTCACCCCACATGGATCCCCTCACGGAGAGAGCCATGTCTGCTCCACCCCAGGCTGAGCTCTGCCCCATGGCATCCCTCCTGCCCCATCCCAGCTCTGACCCACAGCATCCCTCCTGCTCCATCCCAGGGCTAGTGTCCAGCCCTGGGTTGTGTCCCACAGTGTCCATCCCTCAGTGTCCTACATGCCACCAAGAAGCCACCAGGATGCCCCTTTGCCACAGCCTATGCCGGCTCTGGGCTCACTGTGGTACAGCACAAGAAGCCACCTCCAAACCAGCTCCTACCACCTGCCCTACCTGCTTACTCCTCTCCTCTGCCTGCTTCTGCTCTGCCTCTGCCTGCTCTGCCCGGTCCAGTGCATTCTCCTTATCCAGCTTCAGCATCTGCATCTTCTTCTTGATGGCCTCCATTCTTGGTGGGGCAGTGGGACAGGCAGGACAGGACGGGCAGGATGGTGGCAGGACTGCCCCGGCCCTGATGCCCCGGGCTCTTTATCAGCTCTGCTCTGCCCGCCGCCGCAGGCACTTTGCCTTTCTTGGCCAGAGCTGCCTCTCCACCTCCCCAAAAAGCCAGGGCTTGGGACCCATTGTGTGCCCTGGGGGGGTCCGGGCCCCACAGCCTTATTTGGCCTCCTGTGGACAGCTGGGGTGGTTATAAAAAGCAGCGAGCAGGGGGGCTCCTGCATTGTCCTGGCCGCCCCCTTCCATGCAATGAGACACGCGGGCTGGCGTCACCCACCTCGGGGCACTGATCTGGGTGCCTGTGGCTCACCCCCACCTCTGCATGCCATGAGGTGTCCCTGTGGCCCCCGGGTGACATTTACCCTTGCACAGGGTTTAGCTGCGGCCCCCCGGGCAGCTGGATGCACCCCGACCCACATCTCCGGAGCAGCATCCGTGGAGCTTGGAGCCCGGCTCCGGCTGTGCCGGTGCTTGGCCATGAGGCATAAGATGCTTTTGGCAGCCGAAGGAGCGAATTCCGCAGGCCCAAGGAGGAATTCCTAGGGTGGCCGGCAGCACTTCCCATGCAGCCACAGGGATTAGCTCCAGCCCCAAGTATCCAATAGCCCCATGAGCCAAGCCCCTGGGGTCAGTACCCAGGGGCCCAGGAGATGAAGCCTGACCCTGCTGGCAGCTCCGTGATCCCCAGGCAGGGAGCCAAGCACCCATGAATTGTCCCATTGAATCTCCATGCCCCTGGGAGCCAGAAATAGCCCCGCGCTGGGGCAGCAGAGCCAGCAACGGGCACTGGGCCACGCGCCTTTGTACTGGGATCATCCCAGTGGCGTGAGCACTGACCCTGCCGCCATCCCAAACCTCCGCAGCTCCCTGTGCCTGGCCCCATGGAGCATGGGCAGATGGGTGTCATTGCAGAAATGGAACGGGTACGGGAAGGGGCATGTGGGGACACTCGATGGGGGGCACACCCATGGGAAGGGTGCAGGCAACAATGGGTCAGCGCCGCGTGTCCCTGGCGCTGTAAGAATATGTTTGATATTTAGTTGGTTTTTCAATAAAACAACCTAATATCAAACATATCAGACAGAGGCAGGTGGACGGGACCCGGGGCTCAGCTCCCTGCAAGAGAAGGAGAGAAGTGGAGGCTGAAAGCTGCGAGTGTCTCAGTTCCTCAAGCCCTCCAGGGCACCTGCACCAGCACTGGGATGCTCTGGGAAGCACTGCTGGAGCAGGAGGCGCCCTGCAGCAGGGACAAAGCCAGAGCAGGGCAGCGTATACACCATGGCCTGGTTCAGCATAGCACGACATGGGTCATGCTGCCCCACTGTCCCTACGCGCCAAGGGGACCCCACATCCATCACCGCCTTACCTGGGCTCGGGGGCTCCTCGATGGTGCAGCTCGGGGGCCGCCGGCCGCTGTTTATAACTGCACTCGGCCACCCCAGCCCCGTGCACGTGGCCCCATTCCCATTAGTTACGACCCATCGACATCCCCCCACAGACCCCGTGCCCTTCACCGCACAGGGCCAGTCGATACAGGTCGATGAGGGCCCAGCGCCGCCTGCTCCTGCCCCCGGTCACACGCCAGCGTCATTAGCAGAGCCATCGATAGTGGGGAGCCGGCCCTGTCCCAGTAGGCTCTGCCCAAGGACAAGCCCCAGCCAGCGCTGCGGCTCGTGCCCCACGTCCCCTCCTCCTCTGCCTGTGTCCCCTCACCCTGGGGGGACACGCTGGTACCCCTCATCCACAGGAGGAGATTCCTGGCACCCTTCCCCATCCCTCATGCAGATGCAGCTCCCCTGTGCTGGGCCTTGCTGGGGGACAAAGGCAGGACCCCCAGCCTGCTCCGGGCTGGCTGCTGGGTCCTGGCTGGTAGCATCCAGACATGAGAGTGTCTTGGAGGGCTGGAGGCACGTGTGTCCTCATGCCGTGCCAGTGCTGTGCCACAGTGGGAAACACTGACCTTGGGATGGCATTGCAGGCTCTGAGGGGGCCTAAACCTTGGGCTGCCCATGGGGCAGGACGTGGGGCAGCCAGAGCCCAAACCTTGTCCAGGACGAGGGGGGCTGCATGTGGAAGGTGGCACAGGGGACAGTGGGGACACAGCAGCAGTGCCAGGAGCCAGGGGCGTGTGTGCAGCCAGAGCTGATGTGATGCAACCCGACAGCAGAGCTAATGAAGGGCTGTGGGCAGGGGGTGCCGGCTCCGCAGCCCCCAGCCCTGTCAATAAGCAGCGCCAGGGCAGGCACTGATGGGCCCTGGGGCTGGGAGACACCAAGGTCAGGCAGAGGCAGCAGGGAGGGGAGGAAGGGGATGGGCTCCCTCAGTTGGGGTGCAGATGGGGCTCAGGAGTGCCTGGACATCGCAGCCAGCCCAGTGCCCCACGGGACAGCAGCGTGCGGCCGAGGCGGGCACCGCACACGCTGGGAGCAGGATGCAGGCAGCTCACCGGCCGTGCTGCCACCTCCTGGTACGGGCACGGCCGGGACCGAGCGTGCGGGATCCAGCATGTCCCAGCCACAGGGATCTGCTGCTGGGCTGCTCCTTCCCCTGCATCTGCACGGGGCAATGCCCAGGGTGCAGCAGGCGCAGCCCCCGTCGTGCTCCATGTGCTTCATGCTCAACTGAGAAGTGGTGAATGCTCCATCCCTGGCAGTGTTCAAGACCAGGCTGGACGGAACCTGGGGTGGCATGGTCTAGTGAGCATCCCTGCCCATGCCAGGGGGTTGGAACTGGATGATCTTAAGGGCTTTTCCAACTCAAACCATTCCATGCCATCCTGTCCCCCCAGCCTGTCTACAGGGCCAAGGCCCCCCCTCGCCTGCTGCCCCCAGCACAGGGGGGCTCCCTTTGCTGGAAGCCTCTCCAGAAGCCTGAAGGAGGCACCCCCCTTCCCCAGAGCCTGCAACCAAAACTACACGTCTGGGGGTTGTGGGGCTCGACCCACACAAGGGGGAGGCTGCACCCCACTGTCCCCAGGAACCCAGGACAGCCACCAGGACAGTCTCTGCCCCATCCCACCTCCTGCAAGGGGGGCTGCCTGCTTGCCACTGCTCCAGGAACACCACAACCACCCTCTGTACCTTTAACAGCATCCCCATTACTGTGGCAGCAGCATGGGGATGGATACGGCTCTGGATGCGGCAGGGAAGGGCTTCCTGCAGTCAGAGGCTGATGTTCCACACCCTGCTTGGGGTTAACTGTCATTTTATTAAACAGCCATTAAAAAGAGTGCAGAGGCCCAGCGAGGGGCAGGGTTGTCCCACCCCCCCGTTGTGATGACTGGACTGGGGAGCAGTGGGTGCTGCTGGCGGCCTGGCAGGACGCACACATCAAGGTGGGGGCCGCGAGCTTTCACCCCCTGAGGCTCGGCAGCCGCTGGCACACGAGGCGCTGGTGAGAATGGGAGGAAACCCCTCTTGGCAGGACAGGCAGGACGTCGGAAGCTGGTATTTGTCTGCTCAACACGTCCCCAAATGCCCAGTTGCAGGAGAAGAGTAGAAAACACAGCCACAGGGGCTAAGAACTGGCCACCAAGCTATTTACACTCTGTCCAGGCACCCTGGGACACCTGGCTGACAGCAGTGATGGGACCACAGGGAAAAGAGCAGAGAAGCAGCTCCAGAGCCTGGGACCCACAGCCAGGACAGACAAACAGGAGCAGCCCCCTCCAGTCATCAGGGGGAGGAGGAGAGGTGGAGCAGAGCGCTGGCTGGGCCTGATGTCTCTTAGAAACAAGCTAAAGCTAATCAGTTTATTCACAGGGCCAGAGCTCCAAGCTGTTGCTGGACGCAAAGGCTCAAGCCCATGTCCCACGCCTGCACAGGAGGCTGCACAGGCCGATCCCTTCCAGGATCAAGGGCTGCTTTGACACTGGCTCTGGGTGAGGACTGAGCTGCACCAGAGCCTCCACTGAGTGACTGCCTCCAACACGGTGCAAGAGGGAGACCCAAGAGCGCATCCACTTCCTCCCCATGCTGCCTGCACAGCAAACTGCAGCCAAAACCTGCTTAGGACCTGCCTGCACCTCACAAGAGGCTCTGCTTGTGGCAGGGCCCCAGAGTGCAACCAGCTCTGCCTTGGCTCACAGGGTGCTCTCCAGTGTGTTGTAGTTGTCCTTAAAGCTCTTCAGCTCCAGGAAGTGTTTGGCACGTTTGCTCTTCTGGTTGGAAGGCAGGTAGGTGACCTGGATGGTGGCAGGGTTGGAGACTTCAGGAGAGAGGGTAAGGTCCTTTGCTGCTGACTGGTGCTGCCGCTGGCTGCTGCCTGCCCGGGCCTTGGTCCTGCAGGGAGGGGAAAGGCTCAAAGCACAAGCAGGACTACGGACTGGAACTAGCAGCAAATCCAAAACCACACCACCATATGGACTGCAAGGAATAAGTATACTTGGAAGGACAGACTGAGGCTGGGTGCTGCCTCAGGAGTGTCTCTGCTCACACCTCAGCAATGGGCTGCTGGGGCCCATGAAGCCATCACCCAGCTACTCCTCTAGCCAGGGACACTCCCTTAGAAAACAGTTAGGGTTGGAAAGGACCTTAAGATCACTCAGTTCCAAGCCCCTGCCATGGGCAGGGACACCAACACTTACATGTTTGCCAGCTCATTCAGAGCATCCTGGTACTTGAGATATTCTGGTTTCCCAAAGACCTGGACACAAGCAGAAAGGACCATGTCAGAAGCAGCAGCGGCTGCAGCGAGGCCCAGCCCAGGCATTGCAGCGCCAGCACTTACCCCAGTGCCATAGCGGGCGCTCTCGTACCCATCCAGCAAGGTGTCAATCAAGGCTTTGCGGATGCCTTTGAAAGAGGTGCTGGAGTTCCGCAGTTCCAGCAGGTAGGCACAGAAGTTCTTCCCTATTAAGGACTTGGGGTACCGGCCCTCTGCGTGAAACGGAATCTCTGGGGAAGGAAAAGGCACCCCACAAGCAGCTAAAGTGCAGGTACAAACTGTTCTGGTCACCCGCAGACATCAGGCCTTGGAGCTGATTAAAACTTCCACCACATCTGCAGACTCCTTACACCCCAGAGGCAGAGCCACCCTCAGAGCACCAGCCCCAGACAGGATACGTGAATGCTATTCGCAAACAAGAGCCTTGAGCACAATCACAAGGCTGCTGGCTCCCTACTTCCTCCACACATGGTCTCTCTCCACCTTTCCTTCCCCTCTTCCTCCTGCCCTGAGCTCACTTACCAGATGTCCTGATTGCATCCAGTGCCTTCATCCTGTACAGGTAGTTATAGCAGCCTGGCAAAGAGAAAACCCAGTCTGAGAGCTCTCCACAACTTGGGAGGGAGGCGGGGAAAGCAGAGAGGAGAAGACTGCAGAGACACCACCTCTTGTTGCCTCACCAGCGCTGCCCTGGGACAGCCAACAAGAGGCCAGAAATGCAACTTGGCCCGAGGGCAATGAGTTGCTGTAGGAGGACAGTGTCTCTGGTGGTATCTGACTGAAGCACAGCCACAGGTACCTTGTGTCTCCAGCTGCAGGAGCCTGCCATCATCCTCAGCCAGGAGCCGAGGCTCGTACTTGATGTCCTGCACCCGAGACAGTCGGATGTCGATTTCTTCCTTTAAATCCTGCCCAGTGAAGGGGGAAAAGCCCAAACACCACGTTACAGAGCGGCCACTTTGTGTGACGGAGCCCAAAGGGTGGCGGCAGGCAGGGGACAGAGGGCACCCACCTTGGGCGCGTGTTGCCCCACCGGCACGTGGGGGCCGCGCCGGGACTTCATGGCGAAGCGCATGATCTGGCGCTTCACAAAGATAAAGAGCAGCACAAAGACCTGGAGCAGCGGGACGGGGGGGTGTCAGGCTGCACCTCAGCCCCACCGACACCCCCGCACCAACAACCACAAGGCGCCATCGCCCCCTCAAAACCCAAGGGTCCTGATTTAGCCCCACAGACGCCCCCACAGAGGCTCCTCCTCAAGTCCTCTTCCCGCCGCACGGAGCCCCCGGGCCCAGCCCCACAGAGCCGTCCCCGCGGACACCCGGCCGCAAGGGGCCGCAAGGACCCGCACGGTCGGGCTCCCCCGGTGCCGGTGCGCGCTCACCAGGCTGCCGTAGGCCATCACCAGCACCACGTTCACCCCGGAGAGCCAGTTGCTACCGGCCGCCGCCATCCCCGGCCTGGCGCGGCCTGAGGCCGCAAAACATGGCGGCCGCCGAAGCCGCCTTGCGCGCTCACCACGTGACGAGGGAGAGGCGCCCCTCTCTCACGGTGCCGGTCTGGCCCCGCCTCGTGTCGGTTCCGTGTGTGTCCCCCCCCAAGCGCCCTCGTCACGTGATGGGGGCGGGCGCCGCTGGTAGTTGTCAGTGTGGTGAGACCCAGGTAAAGTTGCTGCGCGGCGGCGGCCCCGGGAACCGCGCGCGGCCCCGGTAAACCCCGCCGCACCCGCCGCTCTGTGCCGCCTCACACCCCACTGCCGCCGCGCACCCCTCCCGGCCCCGCCGCCGCCCGGCCCTGGCGGGCCCCGCCGCCGGGCCCGACCGCTGGGCCGTGCGCGGCCTAGTGGGCCGGGCCGCAGCCGGGGCCTGGCGTAACGCGCGGCCGCCGCAGGTGAGGGAGGGAGAGAGGGCGGGCGGGCTGGAGGCGGGCGGGGAGGTGAGGTGTGGGGTTGGGGGGGGGGAATGGCGGCCGCGGCCATGAGGGCGGAAGCGGCCCGCGCCCGCCTGCCTCCCGGGTGCGGGCACGGCCTGGCGCCGCGCCGCCGCGGGGCTCCCGCACGGCCCTGGGTGGGTCCCCTCCGGCGGCTCGTCCCCATTGTGTGCCGGGGGTCTGGGCACGCCGAGCCGCGGCACCGGGCGGTTCCGGCCCTGCCGCGCCCCCGGGGCCCGCCCGGCCCCGCCGCGGCTGGCGGTAACAATGGGAGCCGCGCCGTCCCGCAGCGCTCTCGGAGCTCTTCGGCGCGTGGCGGGCTCCGCGGAGGGGCCCCGCGAGACATTCCCGGTCGACGCCGGTTTGGCGGCCCTGGAGGAGGCCCGGCCCGCGGGCGGGTGCCGGGCCGGTTCTGGGCGCTCGGGTGGGTGTCCCCAGCGAAGCGCTGCGCGGCGGCACCCACTGCGGGACCGTGGTGGTGCGTCTGGGGCATCCTCCCGGAATCCTGTTCTCTGCATGCACGGGGGTTGCTCGGTTTGCAGTTGCAGTGTGTTGGCTCCAGAGGAAAGCTCGTAACGTTGATAAAACACCATCCCCCCATCGTGTCATCGAGCTCCTTCGGGTGCTGGACCTGCCCTGTGTTGCAGGAAAATCTTTCCAAAAGCTTTGCCCTCTGCGGTCCTTTCCTTTGGAGCTTCAGAGGTTTTTGCATGTGTTCATGAAGCTTTGTCAGAGGGGGCTGGAGATATCAATTATATGGACAGAGAAGGGAAACTGAGGCTGGGATGTGCTGGGGCTCTCCCAGCATGAGCCAGCAGGGCTGAGCCAGCTGGGGGTAGCGGATGTGACCACCAGATCCTTGTGCTAAAACTGTAACTTACCTGAAGTTTCTAATAAAATGAACAGTTTGTTATGTTTTTGTATCACCTCTTTTTCTGGAGCCTGCTGTTCTGAGTAGCTGAGACTCTCCTCTCTGGATGCTGTAGGCTGAAGAGGGGTAACGGCAAAGTGCATCACTTTTCCCTGCAGCTTCTTGGAAGGAAAGATGTTGTAACCTGTAGCTGGGAATCTTCTTGTTTTCCCTGAATCCCATAGGAATGCATTGCTTTCCTCTCGCCTTGAAATGTAAGCATGGGGCTGCTTTAATGTTGTTTCTCTGCTGTGGCTCAGCCACAGTTTTCTGGGGCTGGAGTTGCCCTTTTTGCTTGCCTCCCTCTCTGTGCACAGATGTGGCTGTTTAAAAGCAAGGTCAAACACTGAAAGCTGCTCGGAACTGGTGAACTCATGGGAGTGCTCACTCTGTGCAGGGCCAGGGCAGGTGGCAGCACAGCCAAGGTTTGCAGTGAAATGTGGCCTGTGAGCTGTACTACAGTGACCCAAGTGAGGAGTAAAGTCTTGGCTCCCTGGATGTGGTGTGGGGTGTCGCGTGGGGTTGCCCGTTGCCACCAGGCTCCACACTGGGGACTGCCTGATGATGCTTGTGGTTTTTGGGGTGGGTTTTTCTTCTGCATGTTAAATAAGCACCATTTCCTCGTGCCAGGAATGCAGCTGGGCAGAGCATGGCAGAGCTCTTGAACAATGCCTAGGCACTGCACAAAGGCTGGGGGCAGTAGACTTGCTGGTACTGTGTCCTACTGAAATCCCAGATTAAGTTACTGCAATGGCACAGGATTGCTTCCCTCTCGGCCTGCAGTTCTGCTGCCAGATTGGTTTAATATGACAACTTATTTGTGCCCGAAACACTTAGAACTGGAAGAAACATAGCAGTGGAGAGGGGAAAGCAATCCCGTGGGGAAGAAGCCTGTGTGGAGGCTGCGTGGCCTTGGGTGAAGCCGAGGCTGGATGCTCTTCCTTAAACCTGCTTGGTGTCACGGGCAGCTCCTGCTCACCAGGCAGATAGCTTGGGTTGCTTCCCCGATCAGAGACCTTGGTGCTGTAGAGCTGACAGACGGTGGTTTTGGTTCTGTGAGGCATGGGTGGCCCTGAAGAGGAACGTTTGAGGTTCTGTGGGAAGCTGCAGGAGCAGTTGGCCTTGAAAGCTTGCCTGCAGAGGAAGGCTGGAGGCTGCTGGGAGTGGGAGCGCTGACGTGGGCAGTGAGCTGTGGTGCGGGTAACAGTAGGGTCTCCATGCTCTCGAGAAAGGATCTCCCAGCTGGTCAAGTGCTCCTCTCATGGATTTGACAAGAGACTCCCCAATTCTTCCTGGGCTGTTTGCTAACGATGCTGAGCTTTCCACACTGGCTCTTGCTCTGTGCTGCCACGTTGGTTGTTTGCAAGCAATGGTTCAGGTTGGAGTTTCTCACTCGGGTTTCCTCCTGTTCTTACTCTCTTTGGGGCTCCTTCCCCTATCCAAAGCATCTGCTGCAGCACCAGCCTGTAGAGCAGATCCTGCTGCTTTGAAGGAAGGTGTTGCTGTCTTGTTAACAAAATCCAGAAGTGTGGAGTTTGTGATTATTGAGGTTTCAGGGGCTTGGAAGTAGCACGTGATGCCAGGTGCCATAGGATGTGTGTGGCGTCCCTCGTGCCATGGCAGGCAGGGTGAAACTGCTCAGTGCTGATCCCATTCTAAGCATCTGGGTTGGGCTCTTCCTGCGAAGCTCAGTGAGCAGTTACAAAACTCCAGGAGCTTTGGACACCCTGTTCCTGAACTCTTCTGGGATGTCTGGACCCAAGCAGTTCCCAGCAGTGTTACTGGCTGCAATTCCTTGTTGACATCTAGCTCACTTTTCTGGTAGTGTTTTATTTTAATCCAGAATACTGAGTAGAAGGAAACTTGGTATTTCTACTTCTAAGGAGTAACTGAAGCGAGCACAGCTGGGCAGTTCTGCAAAGGTGGTGTTTCTCTAAACCAATATCCCACAAACCTATAGCACCACTTACCACTGGAGTGCTTTTCTTCCCCTGCCCTGCTTTGAAGGCAAGAAAGGAGAAGGGGAAGTAGCTGATGATGTGCCTGAGGCTGTGAGATGTTCTGCTCTTTAAGTGAAGCTTCTTTAGAGCTTTTCTCAAGCATTCCTTACTCCAGTTGACCAACAAGCATTTTGCGCCCTGGCTATGGCCAGTCCATGCCTGCTCACACACTTGCTCACCTGAGTGCAGGTGAGGTGGTGGCGGTGGAGAAACCTCCAGAAGTGCCAGTTTTGTCTTGGGGACATGGCAATGGGAGGCTGTGGCTGGTGGGGAGGGAGGGAGAGAGGGAGGGCACTGGGATGAATTTGCTGCTTGCCTCGCCCATGCTGTGGTTCATTCTTGGTGCTGCCTTTTGTTTTGGTTTTCTAACAGTGTGTTCTCTCTTCTCCCCTGCCCCACCACAGAGTTCTACCTTGTAAATACTGTTATTTGTATATACTGTAAATGATGACATCGGTGGGCACTAACCGAGCCCGGGGGAACTGGGAGCAGACACAGACACAGAGCCAGACACAGCACAAGCAGCGGCCACAGGTAAGGGCAGCAGCCAAGGAAACCAGTTAGCTTGGAGGTGGAGACCTGGCACCTCTGCGTAGCTCCTGCATGTTGCAGGATGCTGCTGGCAGAGCTGGGTTACCTGGGCAGCCACTGATGGTGGGGTTTCCACATTGGTGTCTCTGAGCTGAGATTTGGGGGGTATATCCATCTGGCCATTCCCTGTTCACTTGAATGAATTCAAGTGGCTGAGAAGCCACCTGCAGTGGGTCTTGATGTGCCAGTGATGCTCAGGTCTGCCTCAGAATGGATGTAGTTTACGTGGTTGTCCCTCGCCTGGTGAGTCCCTTTCTTCTGGACTCTCCTCACTCACTCCTCTTCCATCTCTCTTTCTGAAGCTTTCCTCTTTCTGACCCTTGTTCACGCCTCCTCTTCATCCCACTGATTCCTTCCCAGAGACCTCAGGGAAGCGGAGTGCTCTTTGGAGGAAGGGTTGTTGGAAAGGTGCTGATCTAATCCTGCTGTCTCTGCCTTCCATTTCTTCAGGCCACTGCGGAACAGATTCGACTTGCACAGATGATTTCAGACCACAATGATGCTGACTTTGAGGAGAAGGTGAAACAAGTGAGTGTGGAAAGTGAGGATGAGCCCTGGCAGGAAGGCAGAATCAATGTCAACTACCATGACTGCCTGGGGGAGGTGGGAGGGACTCGGCTGCCTTCTCCCTGAATTTCCTTGGACAAACTTCTTCCACAGAATGCAGGGAATGGTGTTACCCTGAGAAAAGGGAGGTTGGAAGCTGGTTGTGGTAACTCAGAAGTTCCACCTGCAGTTACTTCTCATTGAGGGGGCATAATTCAGTTGTGAAGGCTGCAGGAGACTCCCAACCGCTGACATTTCTTCGGAGGATTTCTGGTTTGGGATCTGTAAGAGATCCATAGAGACTTGGTGCCTCCTTGGTTTGGAACGTGCTGACCATGATGGTGTCTCCTCTACAGCTGATCGACATCACAGGCAAGAACCAGGACGAGTGTGTGATTGCTCTGCATGACTGCAATGGAGATGTTAACAGAGCCATCAACGTGCTGCTGGAGGGCAATCCAGACACGGTAGGATTGGGTTCTGTAAATCTGGTGAGGCCTAGTTCACTGTAACTGCATATATGAAGGCAAGACAAAGAGTCCTGTCTAGATAGCAAGAGCCATAATGACTGACCAGTTCCACAA